ATATTTACTTAACTAGAAATGAGGGTTTGAACTTAGTGTTCCTTTTGCTGACTTTTGTGGTTCCCTATTCTCAGAAAATGCAGTCTTCCACCTGAAGCTGGGCACCATCTGATTTAGACACCAGCAACATTTGTTGCTTAAGATTTTCCAGAATAATTTCTGTTGCTAATGCGGACAGTGAACTTCTGCAAAAGACAGTCTGTCCCTCATGGAGCCTCTCTGTGGAGCCGTTGGCTGTCTACTCAGCTGGCTTCTGAACTGCAGGGCAATATTGGCCTGTCTCATGCTCCTTCTAAAGAAAAACCCCTGTTTTGTGTGTACTAGGTGGCCATGTCTCAGAGGCAGTTGTGCCTCAGACCTGTATTTTGTGCATAGCATGGCTAGGTTTGCTGTTTGATTTTGGTGTTGAGACAGGGTCTTTATAACCTAGAAAGGATTCTAGGAATGCATTCGAAGGTGGGCCAAGGTTCATCATGGTAGCCAACACCTCCAGCAAATACAGGCATTTTGTTTCCTCAACTACACCAGAACCTGAGGAGGAAAGATCCTGGGTTCAAAGCCAACTGGATCATGTGACAAGTCATGTTTTTCTCTTAAAAACAGGGGAAAGACAGGAAAGGACACAGTATGTGGCCGGTATTTTCCTAGGGAAAGACCTCCAGGCATCCATCAGGTTCTGGAAGAATAGATTGGGTTTCTCTGTGTAGCCCTGGCTGTCCTGGTACTCATTCTGTCCTGGTTGGCCTCAAACTTAGAGATTTGCCTGCCTCTGCCTCCCAGGGCTGGGATTAAAGGTATGAGTCATCACTGCCTGACATTGATAATAAGATCTTTGACCTCCCTCTTAAAAGGATCCTTACAAAGCCTTTTCTAGTTTTCTAAAACATTCTGCACTTTAGCCTCACAGAGTAACTTTGAGGCATTTCTCATTGTTTTTCTTTCTTTCCGAAGATCTAAAAAGTATTTATTTATCTCATTATTTTTAATTGAAAATAGATTTTTTCATATAATGTATTCTGATTACAGGTTCTCCTCTCCCCAAAGATTCTCCCCGCTTTGAAAATCCACACCCTTTCATTAGAAAACAGGCATCTAAAAAAAGGAAAGCAACAAAACAAAGGGAAAGTACAAGAAATACACACACACACACATAAATACAGCCAGGCAGTGGTGGTGCATGCCTTTAATCCCAGCACTTGGGAGGCAGAGGCAGGCGGATTTCTGAGTTCAAGGCCAGCCTGGTCTACAGAGTGAGTTCCAGGACAGCCAGGGCTATACAGAGAAACCCTGTCTCAAAAAACAAAACAAAACAAACAAACCACATACAAATACTATACATGTATATGTATACACATATATATGTAACCTAGAGACATTCATATATCCACACATAGAGAAACCCCATAAAGAAACAAAATCAGAATCCATAATATAATAAAATAAAAGCCTAGACCAAAGGAAAAAAAAAAACGTAAGCCCCCACAATACCACTGAGTTGGCTGTTAACTGCTGGGCAAGGGTAGTTTATATACCCTTAAGAGTGGTTTGTATACCCAGGGAGATTCTGATGGAGAAAACTAATTCTTTTGGGAATGGTTATCAGTTGGATAGATAGCTTCTGGTTAGGAGCTTGAGTCTGCTCATCACTTTATCTGGTTTAGACCTGTGTGGGCGCTGTGCACACTCCCATAGTCTCTGTGAGTTCACATGTGTTAACTTTGTTGCACCAGACCTTATTCCCTTAGTGTCTTCTGTGCTCACTGGCTCTTAGGAAAGACAGATTGCATTTCTCTTTCCTAATCTGGAATACAATGAACACAGCAAGCCTATTAAGTGGCTTCAGTAAAGACTTCAGCACGTTATTGTTGGCTGACCATAATCTTTCCTCTGAGACCAGGTCGTTTATAGCCCGGTCTGTCCTATAACTTACCATGTACCTAACTATAACATCAATGACTTCTGATCCTCCTGCCTCCGCCTCCCATGTGTTTAGATTACAGGCTTGTACCACCCTGTCCAGATTTATGCAGTGCTGAGAATTGAACCCAGGGCTTTCTTGCTTGTTGGGCACTCTACCAACCAAACTACTTCTCTGGTCTGTCCTCAACATCTTTGCTAGTTTAGTTATGTATTTGTGCTTTCTTTTCTTTCTTTCTTTTTTTTTTTTTTGAGGTTATCACTAGAGCAATCATCTGTGCCAGCCTTCAGAGTGCTGGAATTATATGAGTGTACCACCACACTCGGTTAAAACCCTAGTGTTCTTGCATTCATTTAAAATGCTGCCAAGGCTGAGACAAAAGATCAGCTTCTATGGAGTTGTTGGGACTGGGCTGGCTCCTGCCTCCTCATCCTCTTCCAACTTGATTTCTTACCCACGTTTCCTTCCCTACCTCCAACCCATGTTTATTTTCTCTAACCTTTGCTTGGTACCTTGAATATGCTACATCTCCATCCCGTCCACGGTCCCTTCCCCCACTTGCACTCCTCTCTCTGTGTTTTTCAAGACAGGCTCTTGCAACGTTGCCCAGACTAGCCTGAAAGTCATTTTGTAGCTCAGACTTGCTTCAAAGATGAAGGCAAGTTTTTCTTCAGTTGCATGAGTTGCTGGGCTTACAGTTGTGAGGCTTCCTGTGCTGAGACAGGATCTCAGCTATGCTGCTTAAACTGGCTTTGAACTTGAAGTCTTTCTGTTATCCAAACATGGGATTACAGGCAAGTGCCGCCAGGCCCAGAGGCTATGATATGCTTGTTTGTTTGTTTGTTTGTTTGTTTGAGACAGTGTTTCTCTATGTAGACCTGGCTGTCCTGAAATTCACTCCTGAAACCAGGACAGCCTCTAATTCACAGAAAAATCTTCCTTTAATACTATGACTCCTGTGATCAAAGGTATGTGCTACCATGCCCAGTTTTTTTTAAATATATTATTTATTCTCCCAAATTAGAGAGAGAAAATTTATTCTTCCTGAATTAGAATTCATCCCGAGATTTGGCTCTTAGACACAGTACAATGCCTACAGAGTAAAGAGCACCAGTATATATTGATAAATAAAAAAATAAATAAACTGTGTGTCTCCAACATGGGTGAAGACTTAGTGGGGCTTGGGTTCCAATCAAAATAAATCAACATGAGTGATGAGTGTCCTATTTCTGTTACTTTCATGTCTACATCTGAGAAGAGGAGCTGTTCATTGTATTTGCATGAAAAAGTCTCATCTAAGAACAGGTTCCATATCAAAGGCGTGGACACACGCCCTTCTCAATCTCCCACCAACAAGATTTACTGATTTTTGGTTGGTTTGTTTGTTTAGACACACACCCAGCCAAAGGGGAACGTACTTAAAAGAAGGTCCGGTGCAGGTCAAGCAAGAGGTGCCAGAGAAGGAGCTTGTCCCTGTCTTGTACTATCAGATACTGCGTTGGACAGGTACGTAAACTGTTCTGTTTGTTTGTTTGTTTGTTTGTTTTTCGAGAAAGGGTTTCTCTGTGTAGTTCTGGCTGTCCTGGAACTCACTCTGTAGAGCAGGGTAGCCTCGAACTCTCGAACTCAGAAATCCGCCTGCCTCTGCCTCCCAAGTGCTGGGATTAAAGGCCTGCGCCACCACCGCCCGGCCAGGTAAGTGAACTGGATGCATGGGAAGGCTGTACCGAGGAGATCTGAACTCACTCTGTAGACCAGGCTGTCCTGGAACTCAGAAATCCGCCTGCCTCTGCCTCCCAAGTGCTGGGATCAAAGGCGTGCGCCACCACCGCCGGCCAAGCCACTTTAACCTTAAAGCTAAGTAAAGAACTGTCTGTCCTTCATCCATGCCTGCAGTGTCTGAGGAACAATCAGCTCTCCAGAGACCGGATTATTTAGGGGCCCTTCCGTGTTGAGCAATCTCAATGTCGAGGAAAGAGAGAGAGATTAGCCTAGATTTCTAGGTCTTTCTCCTTCTCCTTGTCCTGCTTCTCATTTCTCTCTCTCTCTCTCTCTCTCTCTCTCTCTCTCTCTCTCTCTCTCTCTCTCTCTCTCTCTCAAACACACACACACACTATTTTCTATGTATGAGTGTTTAGCCTTTGTGTATGTCAATCTGCAGCCCTAAACTACCTGGAGAAACCAGGAGATGGAGGGTGTCAGACCAGGAGGACGTCAGGCTGGGCACCACCCTGTAGCTTCTAGGAGTCTTCTGGAAGAGCAGCCAGTGTTCTTAACTTCTGAGTCATCTCCCCAGTCCTTTTCTTTTCTTGAGATGTAGTAGCCCTTTTCTTGTGATGTAGCCCAGGCTCTCCTTACACATACAGTGGTCCTCCCATCTCTACTGAGTACTGCATAAGCATGGTACTAAGTGTGATACTAAGACCAGTCATTACAATCTTTTGAAGGTGTCAGTTCTCTCTTTCACCATGTTTCAAGTTCAGGGATAGAATGTAGGTCATCAGGTTTGACTGCGAGTGTCTTGACTTGCTCTCAAGTTTTTACTCCCTCTTGAATGAACTGTGGGAACTAAGGTTTATGCTGGTCACCAAAAGCTATCATGCAGAGGCTGGTGCTGTAAGTCTTAAAGGAAGGGTTACAGTCAAGTGCTTATGCAGTTTATTGTGGGGAGGCTGAGTTAAAGGGCTCGAAGGGCAGGCTGTTGAAAAAAGTCCATAGTGTGAAGTCTAAAACTGAGAGAAGATATATTAAGTGAGAAAAGAGGGGAGATTAAGAGATACAGGCCAGAGGTTTCTGGATGGGTTTAGCAAATCAGAGAAGTTGAGCGGAGTGAGGGAGTGAGGAGGGGAGAGTGCAGTGGGGGTCGGGTGCTGAGCCTTGAGTTTGATTCTAATGCTCCAGTCCAGAGAAATGCAAACTATTACATATCCTTTCAAAATAATGGCCCCTGGTGTCTTACTTGGTCACATCAAGAAATGGAATTATGTAGGCACTGTGTCTTTTAAAAAAAATCCCCTTTGTAGCACTTCCTTAAAAATAGCTATTTAATGCAACTCTGCCAGGGGGTTGTTGATAGCGTCCTTGGCATTGCAGTACTGATATTGTAACTTTGGCTTCCTGGTAAGTGTTCAGCTTACATCTCCGTCTTCCCTGAACTCTTTGTATTAACTGTTCCATTTTCTCCTTGGGACAAATGTTTCTTGGGTTATGGTCGTATTGTCCGTTCAGCTGTGAGAACTAGTAAGCATTATAGACTGCTGGGAATAGAATGCAGGCTTGAGGGGGTCCAGCTGTAGAAGCTGTGGGTCTTTACAACACACACTTTAATTAAACTGATTACGCTCCTTCGTTTACAGTTCACAGGAACCTTGTTTTTGGAGGGTTAGTAAAGTGTTTGCTTCTACTAAAATACTCTAGGCGTTATTAATATTGAGTTCAAAATACAGCAACCTTCAGCACTACAGGGTGAAGTTATAGTTTAAAAGTCCCGAACGGCTTTTCAAAAATGCCTAACACTGATTGTATTCATTTGATGGATGGGTTAGTGCATGACAACTACATTAGCATTTGGGAGGCTGATACAGGAAGACCAGCAAGTTAAAGACCAGCCTGGACTACAGAATGAGTGTCTAATCGGGCTACACAGTCATTGTCTGAAAAGAGCAAAGAAACTGAATAAAGAACATAGCCTGAACTATGATTCATGAATGTTCTTATGGTTTCTTTTAAGTGATCTAGTGCAAAGATGATGTATTGTGATATCACTGTATTAATCAGTATTAAAGGCTAAATATTAAATAATACTAAAGTATCAACTATGATTACAGGATAAGAACTTGAGCCTCTGCTTAACGATAAAGTAGTCGTGTTAAAGTCCCACACTTTTATCTTATGTGGCTTTTCTTTGGAAAACTTAAGGCGTTCATCTCTGACAACTGACGTCTTAGAGAAAATACAAATCCCTAGAAGGGATAGATAGCATGAATATTTCCTCCTTGAGGAAAAAAAAAAATCACAGTCTCTAGGGGGCTCAGCCTTCCAAGCACCATGCCCAGTTTATAAAATAAGTCATTGGAATTAACTCTTAAATATGTTCCAGTTATTCCTGTGTTATCCGTCATGCAGCAACAGTGATTAACACCAGCAGTCTTTACATTTAAGGAGAGAGAGGAGCTGAGTCAATGGCTCTGCAGGTTAAAGTGCTTGCACCATGAGCAAGAAAGAGGACCAGAGTTTAAATTTGCAGAACTCATACTCACGTGCTAGTTAGGTTTTTTGCTGCCTGAGTACAAACTAGAGTCATCTGGGAAGAAGAAATTTAATTGAGGAAATGCCTCAATTAAGTTGGCTTATGGGTAAGGCTGTAGATCTTAATGACCTATAATGATTTATGTGAGAGGGGCTTTGACCACTGCGGCTGGTGGTCCTGAGTTAGATAAGAAAGCAAACTGAACAAGTATGTCCTCTGTAGTGTCCCGACAGCCAAGGATGATATCATAGAAAGGTTAGATGAAATAAATCCTCTCTCTCAAGTTGCTTTCATCGGGGTGTTTTATCCTAGCACTAGAAACCAAACTAGCACAGCCGGTCAGGGTGTGGTAGCCTCCTGTAATCTTGAGACAGTGGCTCTTGAGGCAGAGGCGGCACCAACTGGTTAACTAGACCCAATTGGCAAACTCTGGGACTAGGGTCAGAGAGCCTGCTTTTTTATATAAGGAAGGAGTGGTAGAGGGAGACACTGGCATCAACTTCTCTCTATATATACATGAACAGCTACACATGCATGCCTGCATGCACACATGTGCAAGTGCACACACACACACACACACATGCTGATAGAAAAGTTAAATATACCGGGCGTTGGTGGTGCACGCCTTTAATCCCAGCACTTGGGAGGCAGAGACAGGTGGATTTCTGAGTTCGAGGCCAGCCTGGTCTACAGAGTGAGTTCCAGGACAGCCAGGGCTACACAGAAAAACCCTGTCTCGAAAGAGAAAGAAAGAGAGAAAGAAAGAAAGAAAAGAAAAGTGAAATATTCAGATGGTGGCTTCTTGCATTTATTTATTTATTTATTTATTTATTTATTTATTTATTTTGGTTTTTCAAGACAGGGTTTCTCTGTCAGAACTCAGAAATCCCGCCTGCCTCTGCCTCCCAAGTGCTGGGATTAAAGGCGTGCACCACCACCACTCAGCCTGGCTTCTTGAATTTATAACATTAAAAAAAAAAAAACATTTTCCAGGCAAGATGTTCATTTAGAATCAAATTAAAAATTACTTTTCTTTTAAGGCCATATCGGTAGTCCCAGCACATGAGTCTGAGGCAAGAGGGTTGGAAGTCATTTTGGGTTACAAAAGTAAAAGCAAAAGACAAATAATAAATGTTAAACCTCTTTGGAATTGTTGTTCTGATTGGTCTTTCTTCTCTCCCTCCTCCAGAACTTGTGCGAGCTAGTACAAACGTGCTTACTAGCTGCTGAGTTTCCTCAACCCAAGGCTCTTCAATTCATGAATAATGGTCAGTTGGCTTTTTTTAAATCTTAATTCTTATTTTTTTCGAGACAGGGTTTCTCTGTGTAGCCCTGGCTGTCCTGGACTCAGTCTGTAGACCAGGCTAGCCTCAAACTCAGAAATCCACCTGCCTCTGCCTCCCGAGTGCTGGGATTAAAGGCGTGCGCCACCACTGCCTGGCTGGCTTTTTTTTTTTAATCTTAATTCTTAATTTTCACATTGGCCCTGTTGCCAGGATTGAATGAACTTGACCAAACACAGATCTGCCTCCACTTGGATTACAAGACACATGCTATCATGCTCCTGTTTATGTCATGCTGGGGTGTAGGGAATTGAACCCATAATTGTTAATTATGCCATATATAATTTTATGCTGTATAAAAATAATATGATTTTCATAGACTAAAAGATCAATACATAAAAACCCAACTAGGGAAATGGCTCTCAAACTCGACAACGTCTGAGCCACTTTGAATTGTCATGCCTATAGCTATGGGTCTCTAGCTTCTTGGGAGAGCCCATGGAGCTGGTGAGCATTGTACGGAAAAGCAAAGCATCTTGCAATGGAAACTTAGCCATTCTACGATGTCCATGGTGCTGAAGTTGAAACTCTTCTAATGATCTCACAACTCTTCCATTTGTTGTTGTTTCCACAGACTTGTTGCATCGAACAAGACAGTCTGGGTCAAGCGTTTGAAGACGCCTTTGAAGTATTGACCCAACAACATTCAGCTGGAGAGATTCAGTACCCCCCAGGTAAAAATAAGTTGTTTACTATCACCTCTTGGCACATATGTGAGTGACAAACACATGTACACATACATATAAAGAGTAATAGGAAATCTAACTTAAACTTGCAAAGCTGGGGAAGGGTGATGGTTTTCCTGTGGTTTCAGGGCTAGCCAACATACCCTTATTGATGAGTTCTAGGCCAATGAGACCCTATCTCAAAAAGTAGGGCTATTGAAGGATGATGGATGGTAGTTGACTTTGGCACAAATGTGTACTCACACATGTACACAAACATGAAGGACAAACACTCATATCCATTAAATAGTTGTAAAAGGTGATGCAGTAGTACTAAGATAAAAGGGTTGTTATTTGAGACTGAGATATGTAGCTAGACTCTGTCTCAAGACAAAGAATAAACATAAAAATCTGCTTATTGGTTGCTTTTACATCATCCTGACTTTCCAGGAAGAGCTTCCTGTAAAACAATATATGTACATATGTGTGTATGTGTATATGTACACATATACATTCTCTGTGCTATAATTAGAGTGGAGGTCATCACAATCTTGGGTGTCATTCTTGCCTCCCACTGTGTTTGGGTGAGAGTCTCAGAAAAAAAAAATCCCACTTTGTTATATATGTCAGGCCTTCCACTCACCCAAGACTTAGTCTGCACAGAAAAAGGAATATTTTTATCCTTAACTTATTCTACAGATTATAACTTTTATAACTTTTATTCTATAGACTCTTTGATCTTGATGAAATGCAATATCTTTTTTTTTTCGAGACAGTGTTTCTCTGTGTAGCCCTGGCTGTCCTGGAACTCACTCTGTAGACCAGGCTAGCCTCAGAACTCTTGAACTCAGAAATCCGCCTGCCTCTGCCTCCCAAGTGCTGGGATTAAAGGTGTGCACCACCACTACCTGGCAAAATGCAATATCTGTTGAGTTTTATAGACACATTTCAGGGAGTTCCAGGTTGACACTTTGGTACTATAGGTACATGGAATACTTTTTCATAGAGAATGGGTTATGAAGAACAGTGTCCAGAATACAAAAATCCTAGGATAAACACCATGATATAAATAGAAAGTGGTAAGAAAGCTTAAAAGACAGTAATCAATAAAATAGATGTCACCTTGGGCTGCTTACAGACGTGTTTGTGTATAAATGTGTGTGTGCGCCTGTAAACTCGGACTTATGAAATGTCTTTCTGCTCTGTTTTTATTTAGAACATAAAAATTACATGGCTATCATTAACCCTTATCCTCATGTCAGAGGCAACTCTAACTACTGTGGAATGTTACCCCCAGAGAACCCGTTCTACGACTGGAGAAGTGGAACAGTGAGTAGCTTTACTGAGATCAGCTGCCCTGCATGGGAAGACCCATGACAGCCGTGCTTTTGGTTTAGAAGGAGTGAGTTTATTAAGTTTAAAGCAAATAGGAATTAAAGGATGAGATAGCAGCAGAGAGGAAGCTGGGGAAGGTCTGAACAATAACACGGTCACCTGGAGCCCCTGACAGAGGGCCCCAAGCAAGCATAATGTTCTCCTGGGTGAGACTTCCAAGGAGCCCTTCCCACTATATACACATTATTTTTGTTTTGAGACAGGGTTTCTCTATGTAGCCTTGGCTGTCCCAGAACTAACTCTAAACCAGGCCAGCCTCAACTTGCAGAGATCCACCTGCCTGTGCCTCCTGAGTGGGATTAAAAGCCACCACCTCCCAGCTATAAACCATTTCTTTAGAGAAGGGATTTGGGGTCCAGCTTTGACCTCTCTCTTTCTTTTCGAATTGCCAGGTAAAATATGGGCTGCCTGGTCCTTTTTATTCATGGAATCTGGCAATCTTGTTTATCTTCTTAACTCTGTAGGCTTCTTGCTGCTGGAGTTACACTTGTGAGCTGCCATCCTTGATTCTCAGATTCTCTTTCTCACTGAGCATCTTTAGAAGAGTAATCACCGCAGGCAGTGGTGGTGCACGCCTTTTATCCCAGCACTACAGAAGCAAGCAGAGGCAGGCAGACCTCTTGAGTTTCAGGACAGCCAAAACAAACCAAAGAATAATCACCTCTCTTTCTCAAGGGGAAGGTGCTCATCCTGGCACTTTTGAGAATGTGACATTGGTCTTCAGTCACTGACTGGAGGACCAAAGGACAAATTCCCACTTAACATTAACACACACTGCTGTCTTGTATATAGAATGGTTCTGCGAACCTGTATTTGGAAGGAGGCTTCCATCAGTCCCTGCAGAACATAGCTGAAAGCCAGCTGGTACAAGCCCCCTTCTTCCAGCAAAAGGGAGGAAGAGGTATGTTGCTATGATACTTCTGACATGGATTCAAAGGGATGTCATATACGTGTTTCTGTTTTTTTCCTCGTTCATTATGTAGCCCAGGCTAGCCTGGAACTTCCTGTGTAGACCAAGCTATCTTCAACTTGTAATCCTGCACTCAGCATCCTGAGTGCTGAGATTCCAGGAACACAGTGCCACTCCAGATGGAATAAAGAATATTCGGAAACGTATTTATACATATTAGCTTGTAGCTGAGCATGGCGGTACACGCTTATTGGTATAGCACTGAGGCAGAAGAATTGCAAGTTTAAAGCAATTCTTCTTTGCTCTGTTGGCAAGCTGCTCTGTGGGTGCTGGGCTACATGCTAGACTTTATCCCAAAGAAAAATCTGTTAAAACAACATAAATTGAGCCACTCCAAGGGCATTTAGTATTTATTGGACCATAAGCAACTTACTGATGGTTACAGTCTTGAAGAAAGTGACATACCCACTCCACCCTGGCAGCAAGTAGCCTCACGGGTCTCTCCCTACCCGTGCTAGAGTGTAAGCAGTCTCTCCATTTTTGTGTGGGTAACTATAGATGCTGTGAGTTGATAGTACATAAGTCATAACATGCTCAGAAGACAACAGACAGACCTTATCTTAAATCCAAGATATATGAGCAGATTTGGAGGGTTGGTAGGGTATACCAGCAGTTTTGGAATAAACTATGCTAATTTCTCAAAAGGAAATTAGAATGTAGGCAAGAATAGTTTAGTTAGTGATGGACCTAGAGGAGGAGGATACAGCATGCGTAAGCTAATTCTGATATCATGAAGTGACTGTCAACTTTGGTTTCATGGATTTCCCTTTCTAGTCATTTTCAGACATCAATGATGACATGATGAAAGACACTGACATTAGCACCTGATTTCATAACTGAAACTGACAATGTTGCTCATGAGCAATGGTATGAAGACTTTTTTTTTGGCATTTCTACTCCAGGACATTTTATGGCTCCTCTAGAGCTAGTCACTTAATCTAAGACTACCAATTCCCATAATACTACTTTTAGGACTGAAGAGATGATAGTTATATAACACTGGATCTGGAGTTAGAGATGTTGGCAAGCTGCTCTGTGGGTGCTGGGAATGGAACCTGAGTCTTTTCTGTTCTGCAAGCACACCAAGGGTCAGCTGAGCCAACCCTCCAGTCCCTTGTGTGTTTCATGATGTGGTTGAACTTTAACTGAAAGCTGCCTGCCTTCAAATGGATCTCCAGATGAGATCCAGGCTTCCTTTTTTTACCCCAGAGAACACTTAAAAACGTTTAACAATTCCATATCATTTAGGTCCAGTGCCTATGGATCCTTCTGGCCTGCCAGTAACCGCATCCCTAAGTCAGTGAATGAGAGGAAGCAGGCTCAATGTAGCTTTCTGGGGCTTAGGGAGTCCCTGGGAACCGTCCAGGAAAGCCTCAAAGGAATCAATGTCTCCTTTTTCTCCCACAGCTTCGGGCAGGAGGAAGCTTCGGTTATTTGAATACCTTTTTGAATCCCTGTGCAATTCAGAGATGGTGTCTTGTATTCAGTGGGTTGACAAAGCCAAAGGCGTCTTTCAGTTTATATCGAAAAACAAAGAAAAACTCGCTGAACTTTGGGGGAAAAGAAAAGGCAACCGGAAACCCATGACTTACCAAAAGATGGCCAGAGCCCTGAGGAATTATGCCAGAACTGGGGAGATCACAAAAGTCCGGAGAAAGCTGACCTACCAGTTCAGCGAAGCTGTTCTCCACAGACTTGCTCCATCTCACTTCCTGGGAAAAGACCTTTTCTACTCACAATATGGCCAGCCTGATCAGAGCTATCTCAGTTTAAACCACTGGAATGCAAATTACTACGCTCATGCCAGTTACCAGAGCTGACTCCAGCTTCTTGCCTTGCCTTGTCAAGAACCCAAACTTTAGAATTTTTCTGAAGCATTTTTCAGATTCCACACCGATGAGACAAGAAGATGTAGAGAGAGAACTCTGTCTGCATAGAACATATTTGGACTTTTTCTTGTCCTGACAACTTTTAGGTAGTGTTTACATCTTGGTGTTAAGGGGAACCTAGATGTTTCAGAAGGGTGCTTACAATTCCTGCAGACACTTTGCTATTTGTAATAAATAGGCTTAGTGTCCATGGAATGGGATCCAAGAACATCCTGGAGCCAGAATGTCTTTTCAGAAAAATATGGGAGAGAGAAGCACAGTGCCACTTACTAATTTTAAATAAACTATTGAATTCAAAGCAACCCAAAGTGTGTGTAGATGTCTCTTGCTATGTAAACATTTTTGTCTAGAGTTTGTCAGTGTGGATGATTTTGTTTATTGATGCCTGCTCGCTTTGAGAAGGTTTGCCGAGTAGCCTAGACTGTCCTTGAGTTGATGAAGTAACAGGCCTGTGTCACCGTACCAGGTTTACATTGATTTAAAAGCACTTTCTTGTCATGTACTCAGATGAAAAGTCACTCATTATATGCCATTATACACAGAGGTTGTATCAAATTTTGTTCCATGGCTCAAAATCCCAGTGGAATGTTATTTTTTTAATAATCTAATCCAATCTAATAATGTTAAGTGATCACCGTGGCTTTAATTTGCATTTTTCTGACTCGACGTTAGTATTTTGCTTTAAAGACGTGATCCTACTTTTAGCCCTCGCTGGCTTAGACAACTCACAGATCTTCAAGTATTGGTATTAAAGGCATATGCTTGTGTTTTGGGGCCCTGTTGAGGAAATTTCTGTTCAATCCACTGTCAGGAAAATGTTCCTGTTCTAGTAGGTTTAGAGGGGATTGTTTTATCTGTTTTTGCTTGTTTTTCTGAGATTTGAGTTTCTCTGTAGATTCCAGGACTGGCCTGGAATAAAGTGATCCACCTGCCTCTGTCTCCTGAGTCACCAAGACTGACTAGTTTTAGATCTTAGAAATTTATTTTTGAGTTGATTCTTAGGTACAAGATAAGAGTTCTTTTTCTGTACTGAAATAGGTTAGTTTTAACTGTCAACTGGATCACATTAAGGAATTCCTAGGGAGCTGAACTTGACATAGGCCTACAATTCATTTCAGCTCTTTGGGAGGTTTAACATCAATTTGATACAACCTCAAATCATCTGGGAAGAGAGGTTCAGTTAAGGGATTATGTAGATCAGGTTACCTTGTGAGCATAATCTGTGGGAGTTGTCAGGATTGTAACTTGACCCAGCCCACCGTGGGTGGCACCATTCTCTAGGCTGGACCCTGAACTGTGTAAAAGAAAGCTAGCAAGTAAGGGTGTTTCAAAGATAGCTGCATCACTGAAAAGGGTGGTACGATGACTTGTGAGAGCTGTATTCATGGAGCTCTCTATATGACGTGCAGGTAGCTTAATTGCGTCTTCCAGCAACTGTTACCTTTTCAGAGGGGTCTTCTGATTCTTGTAAGCTTGAAGATTTTTACTTACTTCTTGAGACTTATAAGTGTCTTTTACTCCTGAGTCCTAATAAGCCTCCAACCTGAAGGGACTATTTCAATTCAGAGAAAGTTGACAACAGAGATCTTTCCATTATCTGTATAATCTTACATTAATAATGCTTTCAGTTGTTAAGTATTCTACTAGGCTACTGTGAGATTTCATCTTAATTTTTTTTCAGATAGTAACACACTGTGTCTGTGCTCGCATGTGCATGCACCCAACATTTATTTTGTGTTAGTTATAACCATGCTTTTACTAGAATTTTTTTTTTTAATAGAAGACAGTAAGTTTTGTGAGGATCTGAAGAACAGGGAACTTAGATGCTGTTGACAGTAATTAGTACAGACATGGAAAAGAATGGGAATTTTCCTCATAAAACTAAAAAAAAATAGACCACTATAGATGATCCAGAAATCCTGCTCTTGGGTATGTTCCCAAAGTAGCTGAAATAAGTACACCAAAGAGATGACTGGCTTCCCATAACCATTGCAATGGCATATACATATATAAACATGCACACATAGTGGAATGCTAGTCAGCGTTAAGACAGGACAGACATGGAAGCAGAGGAGCGACTATTAGGGTAGAGAAGGAGCAACAGTAGAAGGGAGAAGAAACTGTGGCGTAGTAAAGATAATCAGTAATAACCAAGTGTTACCTTGAGACAAGTTTTCTTTACATAGCCCCGTCTGTGCCGGCACTCACTAGAACAAACTGGCATCCTAACTCAAGATAACCTTCTGCCTATGTTGGGATTTAGGGCGTGCACCACCACCCTGTAAGAGTTGATGTTGATTGTTGATTTAATCTGGAATCAACTAGACATGCCCAGAGGGTATTTCTAGGGAGGATTAACTGGGACGGGGTGGGGTGGTGGGGCAGGTAGGTGTGAAGATCCTCCCTCAAATGGAAATCTGTCTGAAGAGAAAACAGCGCTTCTTTGCCTGACCACCCTCCTACTTGATGAAGCATATGCATCAACCTCTGTCGCTGCCATTACTGCTGTCAGAGCCCAGATTCCAGTATCTCAATGTGGCTGTCGACAAGGCTCTCATCTTCAGCACCCAGACTCCTGGGCTGGGCCGCTGCTGGTTCTTGGTCTCTGGGCTGCATGCAGACAGCCACTGCTGGGCTACTCAATTCAGATCACGTGAGCAAATCTAATAAATTGCTTTAGAATCAGTACTTGTCAGGTCTGCTTCTCTACAGTGCTTAACACACTCATCTTTAAAAATGTAGTAACGAAGCCCATTGCTTTGTGCAATTAATACATGCTAATAAAATATTTGCAACAACTTGGATAAACCTTAGAAAACTGTTTGGTTTCGATTTTGTTCTGTTTTTCAAGACAGGGTTTTTCTGCGTAGCCTTGGCTGTCCTGGAAAAACAACAACAAAAATCTGGTTTTGAGACAGTTTCAGTATATAGCCCTCCCTAACCTAGAACTGTGTAGACCAGGTTGGCCTCAAGTTCAATAAACAGCATGCTTCCGCCTCCCCAGTGCATGGATTAAAGGCGTGGGACACCATGTGAGTCAAATGTTAGGCACAGGAAGTAGGTGAAATACATCACTTTAGTGACATCTAAAACACTGAATCACAGCAGTAGAGAACTGGGTCCCCAGGCTCCTTGAATACGGTTTGGAGAGGTGCTGGCTAACAAGTAGAGTTGGAATTAGAAAAGTCCTGATGTTCTAGTCCACAGTAAGGTGACAGTTAATGGGGGCATTTTATATGTCAGATAGCTCAGCTCTTCCTGAGAAACCAAGAAATTGTTTCTCGTTGGGTCGCGGCAGCCATCTTCCTGCTCACTCGCCAAAATGACGAACACAAAGGGAAAAGAGGAGAAGCACTCGATGTATGTTCTCTAGGCCTTTTAGGAAGCGTAGAGTTGTTCCTTTGCCCACATACATGAGAATCTACAAGAAGGGTGGTATTGCAAACATCAAGGGAATGGGCATTGTTCAAAAAGGAATGCCTCCACAAGTGTTACCGCGGCAAAACTGGCAGAGTCTACAGTGTCACCCAGCATGCCCTGAGCATCATTGTAAACAAGCGAGTTAAGGGCAAGATTCTGGCCAAGAGGATCAATGTGCGGACTGAGCACATCAAGCACTGGAAGAGCAGAGACGGCTTCCTGAAGCGGGTGAAGGAGAACGATCAGAAGAAAACGCAAGCCAAAGAGAAGGGACCTGAGTTCTGCTGAAGCGCCAGCCTGCGCCACCCAGAGAAGCACGCGTTGTGAGGACTAACGGAAGAGACTGAGCTGTTGGAGCCCATTCCATATGAATTCATGGCCTAATGTGAAAAAAAAAAAAAAAGAATTTGTTTCTCAGCACCTACACATCTCACACCTGCCTGTAACTTCAACTCCAGGGGATTGGACACTCTCTCCTGGCCTCTGTTGACATGCGCACACAGGGCATACACTCACCAAGACACAGGTGCACATGCACAAAAATAATAATAAATCTGGAAAATAGAAACAGTTTGTATATTTTGGAATAGATATTTTAAACGATCTTAAATCAAAGAAGAGTATTTGAGGCAATGGAAATACCATAGTTACCTCAAACTGGCCACTCCAAGATAGTTAGGCACATCAAACATAAATCTCACAGACAGAGAATAATTAAGTACACATACACGTTTTCCTGGCTGTCCTTTGCCTCTGTTTTCTCTGCACGTCCATTCACAGGCTGTGACGCCAGGAGATAGTGGTCTAAGGAAAACGGAGCTGTGGTAATAACCTTCTGAAGATCCCAACCGCCATAAATCATCTTGCAGTTCAGTCTCCCAGGTAAGTGTGTAGTGGGGGTCGTTGTTTCCTATACTACAACTCAGCCACAGGGGGGCGCTGCTGCCCAACTCTCTCTTGTGCCTAGTGTGGACCAAGTTTTTTTTGTGTTTTGGTTTGTTGTTTTTTAATCTCTCGAGCTGATAAAAAGATTAGAGACCAGCAAACAATCCACTGAGGGAGAAACCTGAATGTGGGGAATCAGAACATAAAGGTCTGGCTTATTTTCCACAAGGCATAAGGAACCCTAGAAGGAAACAATTTACTTTTTACTCCCATTCGACTTGCCTGAACCATCTTCAGATCGGGTTATATAGCAGTGGTTCCTCACCCTTCTTAATAACCCTCTACTACAGTCCTCCTGTTATGGTGACCCCCAACCATAAAATTATTTCCTTGCTACTTCATCACTGCTATGGATTGTAATGTAGATATCAGATATGCAAGATGTCTGATAGGTGACTGCAAAGGTCGTGACCCGCAGACTGAGAGTCATTGTTTCAGTGCACCTAAGGTACTAGGTACATGGAAATCCCTGACTTTGTGTCTGTGTCTGTGTGTGTAACTGTGTGAAAGTCACATAAGAAAACTTTCCAGAATCCCCCAGAATATCTCCTCAAGCTTTAGAGTACAGACAGGATAGGAACCCCTTCTGAAGAAGGGAAGGTCACTCTCCTGGAGAGGAGCAGGAAAGAACACCTGCTTAAAACAGATATTGCTCAAAAGGAGAAAGTGAAGACGTCAGGAAGGGATCAGAACACCACATCCAGCCCAGTCTTTGGCTGTCCAATGTATTTACATGCATTTCAAAACTATTGGTGCTTCTGTGGAAGTTAGTCACACACACACGCACATCTATATCCAACTGCCAGGAGTTCTGCAGGAACGTTCACTGGTCTCCTTTGTCCATGGCTGCATTTGCTCATGACTGTCCAGTGATGAACCACACGATATAGAGTCTAATTTGGAAAAGACAAGAGCTACAAACAAGCTCTAGTCCCCT